TATATATATGTATAACTTTTACTATAAAGACAAATAACTCAAGTAAAATAGGCACGGGGTGGGGAAGGCAGGGAGGAGGCATGGTGGTTAAAGGCGCTGGACTACCCACATGGCCAAATGCATTTTGAGTCCCAAACATGGAGGCTTGCTTTCTCAATTTCTTTCTCTCTCTATCTCTCTCTGTCCCTCTCTGGTAAAATTAAAATAAATAAATAACAAAAATAAAGTTAAATAAAATATTTTTTTTAAATAGGCAAAGGGACCCTGTTTGGGGTTAAGGCATCCAGATCTCCAGTGACTGAGACCATGTAGTTGGAGTGTTGGACCCGGTACCTTGAAGAACACAGCAGGTGCATGTGCATGCGTGCCCAGAATTGAGACAGGATGAAGAAATGGAAGACAAGACATGTGTTACATTGCCCCCTAGGGAGTGCTTTCTCCCTCTCCCCTCTCTGTTTCTGTTTCTCTCTGGCAAGTCATGAACCCTAGAGCAAAACATCTTTTTAAATAGGAAGGGGAGTGCTCGATTATGCAGCACATATACTAAAATTGGAATTATATGGAGAAGATTAGCATGGCCTTTGCACAAGGAAGACACGCAAATTCTGAAGTATCCCATATTTATGGGGAGGGGGAGAAAAGAGAGTAGACTGGGCAAAGAAGTAATGGGGTTGAAATTGTGGATACATTTGTCCTTAATGTATTTTTATGAAGCTGGTAAAGCCTGAAAAAGATCATTTAAAAATTATTTGTTCTGGACATGTGTTACTTATGTAAATACCTATTGAAATAAAAAAAATAGGCAGGAGATATAGATAGACATTTCTACAAAAAATATATACAAATGACTAATTAGCTTGAACAAAAATGCACAGCATCGTCAGGCATCATACAAATACAAACCACAGTGATATACCACTTCATGCTGACAAATATGGCAATAATCAAAAGGCAAATGGTGAGTCAACCAACCTGGAGCTGGTTCCACATGGCCAAGTGCACAGTTCAAGTCCTGCCCCCAACACCTTAACAAACACGTCGAGCATGTGTGCCTTATGCACAAGATCCTGAAAAGAGTGAGAAATGGCATAGAAGGGATTGAGACAAACAACTCCCCATGACGGTGTGTTCTTGTTTTCTGTCTATCTCTCTCTCTCATCTCTCTGGTGAGCACACACATTCTTTCGCAAATTTTAAAAAAAGGCAAATATCAAATGTTGCCAGAAAAAGTGGCGAAACTATAACCCTCAAACATTGCTAGTAGGAATGAAAAATGAGGTAACCAGTTTGGAAACAGTTGGAAATTTCTCAAGGTTAATATACAACCACCATATGACAATGCAATTTTAAGTCTCAGGAATATATGGAAGAGAAATATAAATATGTCCACACAAGACTTATACATGAATGTTAATAAGGAACATTGTTTATGATAGTTCAACACTGGGGAAAAAGTTCATGAAAAGGTAAACAAAATGTAACATATTCATGCTGTGGATCATTATTTGAAAAAAGAAATAAATGAAGTCCTCATACATAAAAATAATATGGATAAATATTTGCAATAGTATGAAATACTAAAATACCATCTACTGTATAATTCCACTTGTATAAAATATTTAGAGTAAGCAAATTTTTTTCTTAAGAGAGGTTTTTGCCAGAGGCCACATGCACTCAAAAGATAGAGAGAGACAGAGAGACAGAAAATGAGAAATCACCCCCTGGGGGGTGGCCACACAGCAATCCCTACTCCTCCATTCTCCTCTCAGGATCCTGACACACACCCAGCATGAGTTTAAGCCACCGGGTCCAGGACTCGAACCGCAGTCGACTGCATGTGAGTCCAGCAACATAGCCATTACACCAACTGCTGGTCCCCTAGAGTAGGCAAATTTATAAAGACAATAGATCAGTGTTTCCTTAGGACACTGGAAATGCAGAAATTGGGTGGGGTGTACTTGAAGGCTAACTAGGAAAATACTGTATTTCTTTTGGAAGATGAAACTATTCTAAAATTGATTATTATAGTGATTTTATGATTCTGTGGATATAATACAAAACATTGAACCATACATTTAAAATTTATAAATTGTATAGTAAGTAAATTATCTGTTAGGGTTTTCACACACAAAAAAAAATCTTGAATTGTAATGTCTAAGAAATGGTGATTCAACTATATAATTATTTTATTTCTACTTTTGTGTCAAGAACACTACATACAAAAGAGCCTCTTACTACTTCTTCCTACTGTTTTAGACATTATTCTGAAATATTCTATAAAAGACAGGTGACTTGTACATACTCATCCAATCTTAGCTAAATGATAACAGTTATTAAAGTTTAGGTACTAAACATGTATGAAAAGAGAGGTCATCTAACTTTGGTTTTTTCACTTTCCAACCACATGCTCAGACTCTTTATATATTTTCTTTAAAGCTTGCGAGTTACATTTTAACTACCTGGTTGAATTATCTTTGCATATAAGCATGAGTAATGACAAAACACTGACTTGGAAAATAGCATTGTATTTTACCAAGATGGCCATGAGATGGACATCAACCCTTCTGCTGCTAAAGCTGACTTGTTGCTTTAGCTTCGGAAGCTGTGGGAAGGTGTTGGTTTGTCCAACAGAATACAGCCATTGGATTAATATGAAGACAATGCTGGATGAATTTACCCAGAGGAGTCATGAGGTGACAGTTCTGACATCTTCAGCTTCCAATCTTGTCAATCCCAATAAGAATCTTTATGTTAATTACTAATGAATATCTTCCACTTGCCACTTGCAAATATGTATTTTAAAAATTAATATTGTTAAATCTAAACATGAACCAAAAGTAGTAGTAAATATAAAAAATTCAACCATACTCTAAAAATCTCATTATTTC